CAGTCGTGCCCTCTGCCCTAGGGTGGGTTGTGTTTGAGAGCTTGGTGGTTCCTTTCAGCTTCTTTCCCATCAAGCCTTGAAAGCTGGGCCGAGGGCAAGGCCTGGAAGATGCTCTCTCTCTCCTATGCTTAAGGTGGGGCACTGGGGGTGTTGGCTGAGGATAGGAAGTCCTCCCTGGCAGGGCACACCCCAGGGTCCTTGTCTACCTGAAGCACCCTGCCCATTTTAGGGCAAGCAGCCAGGATCAGGCGCTGTAATCTACCACCCTCTCTGCCACCCTCCCTCCTGCCTCCTGCAGTGCTTCCTTCTGCTTTTTTACAACTGTTTTCTAAGAACCCTGGGAAGGGAGAGGACCTCATCTTCATGGGGTGGGGCTAAAGACAGAAAGAGGTTAGGGGCAGGAGGGAGGTGAGGAGAGAGGGAGGGTCAGCTGCGGCAGGAGGAGGAAGGAGGGAAGGAGGGAGGGAGTGAGGGAGGGAGGGAAAGAGTATGAGGGGCAGAAAGGAGATATGGTGGGAGTGAGAACAGTGCAGGCAGACAGCAAACGCAGTCCCTGGCTGACAGGTTGAGGAAAGGAGGGGAAGGAAGGGTGGGGGTCTACCCGCTGCTCCTCAGCCCCCAGCTTAGATGTTCCTGCCCAGAGAGACCTCCTCCTCCCCCCATCACTGTCTGTCAATAATGCCATTTAATAAAGAAATGGTGGGTCAGATCATGTTTCTCTTTTTGGCTCAAATCCCCGCAATGGCTCCTCATTTTTTTTTTGAGTGAAATCCAAAGCCCCCATAATGGCCTTCAGGGTCCCACATGATCCCTTCCTGACCTGGTGGCCTCTCTGACTTCCTCTTCAGCAACTCTCCTTCTCACTTTAACCCCTTTGGCTCTTTGTTGCTCTTCAAACATACCATGCATGCTTATGCCCCAGGGCCTTTGCATGGCCTTTCTCATTTGCCTGGAATGTTTTTTCTCCAGATAGAGTCAAGATTCCCTCCCTCAGCCTCTTCAAGGTTTTGCCCAACCATAACTTCTCAATGAGGCCCACCCAGAGCTTCCTCCTTAAATGGTAACATTCTTCCCCCACCCTCATCTTCCTTACCTTACTGTACCTTCTTTCTAAACACTGATCACTTTTTAACCCTCTCACATTACAACATGTTTTTATTCCTTATGTACATTGTGTATTCTCTGTCTCACCGCACTAGAATTTAAGTGTCACATGGGTAGGTATCTTTGTTTTGTTCACTGTTGTATCTTAAGTCTCTGGAACGGCACCTAACATAGAGTAGGTGCTCAATTTGTCAAGAGACTAAATAGCACCTACTGGTGTTGGTGAGATCGTTTCTCCCTCTCTCCACCTCTGCTGTTTACTTACTCCCCACGCACCCACTCACCTCCCTGTGTATATTCTGACTTCCCACCCACAGAGCAGCTCCATCAGAGCTGGGGCCTTGTCTGTCCTGTTCACTGGTGAGCTCCCTGCGCCTGTAGGCACCCAGTAACTATCTGTCGGCTAGATAGAAGGGACCTGAGACAGACACCTGGGAGAGTAGGAAGGCAGGACAGTGACTAGGAACAGGCCCGTAGAGGGGGGATTCCTGAGGGAGGATCCTGAGGGAGGATGGGAGGGTGTTCACTGGGCACTGTAAGGCCTCTTGAGATCTCCCAGTCTGAGAGGAGATGTGCTCTTCCGGGCCTGTCTCACTCACACACACACACACACACACACACACACACACACACACACACACTAAACTCTGTCTCTCTTTCAGATGATCACACCTCAGTGTACAGAGCAGAGAGAGCAGGAAGGCTGGAAACTGTATTGCCAGGTTGATGATGGCATCAGGCTTAACCACTGGGACTTTCTGGAGGTGCCCTAGAGCTAGGCCAGCACAGGAAGCATCACCAGCCAGAAGTAAAGCAGGACCATGTGGAGGGACTGGGGTGGGGGGAGAAAGAGAAAGGATATGGCAGAGGTCAGCAGAATCCCAGGAGATAGTCAGGGCTGAGACTGGGTCCAACACTCGGGCTGGTCAAGGCCCCAAGGGTCTGGGTTTGGGGTGCAGTGATACAGAGTTGGAGAGAGAGGTTGGATTTCCCAACCAGAATCCCCAGAGGAAAGAATCTGCTGGGTCTTCCTCTGGGCTGTGCATGGGCAGGCACAGGGCAGATGGCCAGTACCGCCCTGTGATCCAGGAGGCTCCCAGTGCAGCTCGAGCTGCAGGGTCTAATGCCCACGTTTCCCTCGGAATGTTGCACTGAGCATGTGGTTTTGTATGATTCCAGATGATACTTCTTTCTAATAAAAAGGAACTCTTAACTAAAAAAAAAAAAGCCCAAATCCAACAATCACAGTAGACTCATAGACATCGGGAAAGGACTAGTGGTTACCATGGGGGAGGGGCTGGGGGTGGGGGAGGGGGGAGGGGATTAAGGGACACAGTAACTTGCAGTCACAACATAAATTGATCACAGGGACAGTAGTGCAGCATGGAGAATGCAGGTAATGACTCTGTAATATCTTACTATGTTGATGGACAGTGACCGCACTGGGTGGGTGAGGACTTGATACTATGGGTGAATGTTGAGCCACTGTGTTGTGTATTTGAAAACAACCTAAGATTGATGCAATGATCACTTTTCTTGTTAATGTGAAAATGGGGGAAGAGAGTGAGTAAGAGTTAACCACAAATGCTGGGCCTGAGGCCCTCCTGCCAACCTGCCTGTCCCTGACCACACAGCCCTCTTCTTTGGCCCGAGAGAGAGGCCTGGCCGTCTGCCGCACGGTGTGGAAAATCCAGAAGGAAAGCAATTTTGAAATTCTACTCATGATTGATACACTTCTGGATTTGGGCCATTTTCAGAGCCTGGCCCCTGCCCTCCCATCCTCTGTCACAACCTCCTTGGAATTCTTTAGAAGACTATCTTTTGACATATGGACACACTGTGAACACAGCACATTCAAATGGAGCAGGTTTTGTGAGCAAAGGACATTGAGGTTTCTTCCTGATATACAACTTGTTACCCTTGGCTTCCCTTGGAACCTCTTACTTTCCTATACCTGTAAATGGTACCACCATCCCCACGGTTCATAACTGATCATCACTTTTGCTTAATCCCCCACATCCAAATCCATCAGCAATCCTGGGGCTTGTTCTATGTCAAAAATATTTCCATCCCTTCCTCCCCTCTTCCCACCATCCAGCTTAGGATCCAGCCACCATCCACCGTGGCTTCCTGGTTCCCCTCCCAACCACCAGGATGAGCTTTGACACCACACTCATGCATGGAGACATGCTGCCTCCCCACTTGAGTCCTCCCTGCTCCATGCAGCATAAAGCTGGCTCTCTGCACCTGCCTCCTGGTCACCTCGTCCACCTCCTTGAGGGCCCCTTCAACCCCTGCACACACTGATCTCACTGTTCCGTGAGCATATCAGTTTCAAGTCTGCCTTAGGGACTTTGCACTTGCTGTTCCTTCTTTCTGGAACATTCTGACTCCACACCTTTGCATGGATACCTTTCTCTCATCTTTTAGGACTCAGCTCCTTGAGCACTCCCCTCTAATAATATTAATTACACCATCAAGTTGTCCAAATATCACCTTCTTAATTTCTTCATAGTATTTATCTCTAGTTGAATGGGTTTTATTTGTTTAGTTATTTATTGTCTTTCTCCCTCTCCAGGATTCCAGGAGAGAAGGAACCTTGTCTGGGTGATTTACTGCTATATGCCCATGTCTAGTGCTTGGGGTTTGATACATATTTGTTGAGTGAATGAATGAACGAATGCTCCAACTTTGCCTTTGCTGAACTTCTAGAGATTTTGCAATCTCTCTTACACAATCAGGAGCTTGGTAACCTGTTTGTACCCTCATTTCAAGGATTTTAGGCTTGCTTGGCCAATCAAGTTACAGCTCATCCATTCTTGGTGGCCCCACCCCGGCCAGCAGGACACTGAACACACAGTAGGGCCTTGGTGCACACGTGTGGGACTGAGTTGGTTAATGCAGCCTGGCTCTTATGCTGATGATCTGGGTGACTGTAAGCAAGTCAGTATACCTTTTGTTGTTTATATTCCTCCTCTGGAGAGATAAAGAAGCTTGTACAGATGGTCTCTAAGATTGTGTTTGACTTTCAAAGACCAGAATGGAATTAACCAGTTCAGGGGGTTTTAGTGGATTGAGAGGGATTGGAGACTGGGGTGTAGGAGGGAGTGTGTAGGGGTAAGAGAGAAAGTGGTGAGCAGTTTTATAGGGGGCCTCTCATAGGACTGTTTTCCAGGGCCTTGAGGGCTTTCGGGATGGTGAAGTTTGCCCCTCAAAGTTCAAGACTCACCCCTGGTCATCTCCTGCCTCCCTGAGGATGTGTCCATGGGGAGCAAAGGCTGAGGACTACGACAACCTCTCTCTTTTTTGGCTGTCGTCTCCAACCTGGGGCAGACGAGCCCCCTGAAATTACTCATGCAGACTTGGGGGTATGCCAATGAATGTATCTGGGGGAGAGAAAGTCCTTTGCTTTTATCATATTCTCCAGGGGACCCTAAAGTTTAGGAACTCATATTTAAAAGGCCAGCCTGAACTAAGATGAGTACTAGGAGAAGGAGGAGAGCGTATCCTCCACCCCAGTTGTTTCATGTCTTTTCTGGACCTGTTTCCTCATCAGTAAAATTAGAAGTTTGGGTGATATTGGAGTACCATCCGGAGTTTAGAGTAATCATGCCTAATTTTATTTCATGGACCTTATCTCATTTACTCTTTTCCGAAGCCCTGAGAAAGTATGCCCTGTCAGCATCCCTGTTTTCCAGATGACAAAAACACGTCTGCTGAGGTTTGGTGACTTGTCCAAGGTCACACCGCCTGTGAGTGGCACAGCCAGCCTGAAACCTAGCTGCTGGCTGAGAAATGCCAGGGTGTCCCTTGTGCCTCCCAGCAGGGTCGTATGGCAAGGCCTCTGGGGGCTCCCCCATGGGCCAGTCTGGGCTTAGGGCAGGGAAGAGAGGGGAGAAAAGGAGGAGGCGGTGGGAGGTCATGCCCAGTCCTCTGCTCCTTGAAGAATCTGGAAGGCCTCTTGGAGCAGGGGACACTTGGGGAATGGGCGGAGGCGGGGTGGGGATGAATTCCCAGGCTGCCAAAAGCATCCTTTCTGGTGGGTTCTCAGGTATTTATGGCCTCTCTGGATGGCTGGAATGCAGGTGTGAGTTGCTATCGGACTTTGGGCTCTGCTGCAGGCCTCAGGCTGGGGAGACTTTTTGGAATGTGCCCCTTGCCTTCCAGAGCCACCTTTGGCCTCACCTGCTGTTTACCCTCCTCTTCCTCCCCCTCTGCTCCGCTTGGCAGCCTGAGCCAGTGCCAGTAAATTGTTGGTCAAAGGTGAGGTCACCAAGAACCTGGAGAAATAACAGGCCCTCATTAGCCTTGTTTACCAGCCTTGTTTGTTGCCTTAAAATTTCCTCCCGCCCCTTCTCATTACCTGTATCTCTGTTCCCTTAGAAGCTCAGATCCCCTGGGCATATTTTGGTGGTTTCATGGTCTTTGGAGATCTTCAGGATTAACCTTCCCGGATGCTCCCCACTCCTCCAGTTTCTGGTACATTGTCTGTGTATCTGCCAGACCACATATCAGACCTTGTGGACACCTGAGCTTGGATGCTGGCTTCCCAGTGAGGCTGTAAGATCCTCAAGGGAAGGACTGTGTTCATTTACTATTCTATCCTCAGGGCCTGACCTTTAACAATGTTGTTTTAATGGATGGATGAATGAGACTAATGTTCTGGGTCTACAGTTCAGAACTCATCTCCTTCAGGAAGCCTCCTGGGATTGCTTCTACCCTGTTCTTATCACCCTCCCATTCTTACTTTTGGTCTGCCTCTCATCATGGCCTGACTTCTTGCTGTTGCTCTCAGATTATGTCAGACGGGTGCTTTCAACCACAAATGAGCTCTGTGAAGGCAGAGACTGTGTCTTCTAATTCTCCCATGTGACCCCTGACACCCTACCCCAGAGTCCTTCACACAGCAGGCCCCTAATTGGTGTTAACCAACTAACTGGCCTGTGGGATTTGGGCCTAAGCAGGACTAGAAAGGTCAGACTATTTTTCAAAGTCACAGCTTTTTGGTGAAAGAGCTTGAGCCCATCCTGGCCCCATCTGCACAGAATCACTCAGGCCTGGGGCTCCTTCTGCATGCACTGCTGATATTTTAAAACCATTGACATTCGTTTATTTATTCACTCTGACATTGGCCCAGAGGTTTGATGTGCTAGGCACTGTGCGTGCTCTCTGCTTCTTAGAGTTGGAGGGGATAGAGTTCTGACCTCAAGGATGTACTACTCAAGGAGATGAGACATTTCCCTGAGCAGTCCTCCATGCTGGAGCCATACATCAGGGCAGTCAGAGAAAGCTTCTGGGAGGAGGTGGCACGTGAGGACCTTGAAAGATTCTTATACGACCATTCATTTGGTATAAGCTATGTAAGAGAGCTTTTGCTCATCTTGGTTAGCCCAGGATAAATGTATGATGTGCCTGTGGTCCTGGTTCATAGGGAGGAGGAGGATGCAGGCCAGCCGTGTGCCAGCACCCCGAGCTATATCTGGAGCCACAGACACTGGCCACACTGAGAGGGCCTACCGCCTGCAGGCAGACTGGCTGGGCTCAGAGATGGGCTGAGACTCCCAAGGCTCTGCAGGACTCAGAGGAGGGCGGGCTCCAGAACCCAGGTGCCCTGAGCCTGCCCCTGTTCTCTCCCAGAGACTCCCCGCCTCCCCTGCCTTTGCCCGGTCAGCACCTCAGGCTCTGCGTGGGGTGCTGGGCACAGATGGCATGGTCCTTGCCAAGGTCCCCCTTCTCACACAGCGACAGATGGGCATTGAAACGATGACCCCGGGCTGAGGCACTTGTTGGAAGGCGGGAGGTATGACTGAAGCCTAACTGTCCAGGCAGAGCGGATGCTGAGCTGGGAGGGAATGGCTCCCTGAGGGCTGTGTGCAAGGCAGAGTTCCCGTTACTCATGGCAGGGCAAACCTACCAGAGGGAGGGAGCAGGGAAGGGGCCAGTAGGACAGTGTCTCTGGGCTGGCCGCCTGGCTGTGGGCCTCTGAGCAAGCTGCACACAGCTCCCAGGCCTTGTTTTCCCAACAGCCTTGGGGGACAGAGTCCAGTGGGGTGATTTTGCCAGCTCTTCCCAGGGCAGCCTTAAAGGGCCAGCACCTTCTCCTGGGGTTAATGGTTACCTGTTGGGTCACCAATAGCCCAGATGTCTGTGCATATGAGGATGGGTGGGAGGTGGTGACAGAGAGGTGGCCTGGGGCAGGGCTGGGAGGAGACCCGTGGAGGAGGATGGTGGCTCCTTTGAATATATCTTCTCAGGGACTGAGTCCTCTTCTGGTTGGCCCTGGCCCGTGAGGAGGGACCTGTGTTTTTAAGGGCAGACAGCCTAGGGAACTGTGAGCCCAGAAGGGAGGATAAAGTCCAGGGTGCTGCCCCCCAGCTCTGACAGGAGAGCAATATGGGAGAGGAGAAAGCATGCCTGGCTTAGGACTCTCACAGAAGGGGTGTCTCCTAGCCAAATGAGAAGGAGGAGCATGTCTGGGGTCTTGGCTGGGCAGCCCCCTCACCACCCCCTCCTGACACACTCTTGTTCCACTGACTTGGAAGATGCCCCAGCATCACCCTGACCCGACAACGCCACAGTCCTTCCGGTCTCCACCTCCTCAACCCCCTGCCTTGCAAAGCAGAGTAATAAATAATAATAACAAGAGCCACCCTTTGTTGGACCCTGGGGATATACATATAAATTCTCTTGTAACACTTACAAGAGAAGGGTACAGATTTCACCCCCACTTTTACCAGAGTGGAGGCAGGAGCCCAGCATGCTTATGTAACCACTCAAGATCACACAGAGAGCAAGGGGCAGAGCGGGACTCGACCCCTGGTCTGAGTTGCATCACAGTTCTGTGCTTCGTGCTACTGTGGGTGATGCACTGCAGCCCTGCTGTTTCCTCAGCAGACTGGCTACTGAATAATGTTCACCACGTTTACACCCATGCCATGAATATGAGTGTGCACATGTCTCTGTGAGACCCTGCTTTCAATTCTTTTGGGTCTACACCCAGAAATGGAATTGCTGGGTCATAATGGTAATTCTATTTTAAAGTTTTTGAGGAGCTGCCAAACCATTTTCCACAGAGGCTGCACCATTTCACATTCCCACCAGCAATGCCAATTTTTCTGCATCCTCGTCAACACTTGTGATTTTCTGGGTTTTTTTTAATAGCAGCCATCATAATGAGCATGAGGTGGTATCTCATTGTAGTTTTGATTTGCATTTCCCTGGTGATGACTAGTGATGTTGAATATCTTTTCAGGTGCTTATTGGCCATCTTCTTTGGAGAAATGTGTCTCCTAAGCTCTTTGCCCATTTTTAAATTGGGTTATTTATTTTTTTGTTGCTGAATTTTAGGAGTTCTCTGTATGTTTTGGATATTGGGCCCTTATCAGGTATATGATTTGCAAATATTTTCTCCCATTCTGTGGGTTGCCTTTTCACTTTATTGACGATGTCTTTTGATGCACAAAGGATTAATGATCATGAATACCTCTTCTTAATGCTGTCAGTGTGGCTTCTTCTCCTGGGGTTCCAGAATGTTCCATATCTATGCTGCCTCTAGACCTGTCTCCCTGCATTGATGTCCCGATTACCTGGCTATCCACCAGCCAGAGAACTCTGTAGGGGCCAGGCACTGGCTGGGTTGGGGTGTGCTTTGCCAGCACCATCACAGGGCCTGGCATGTAGCATGTGCTCAGTGTGTGTTTGGTGAAGGGGCGAAGGTGACCTGAGTGTGAGGACAGATGATTCAGACTGGGGTGGGGTGGTGAGGGAGATGAGGGGCTCCCAGCCCTGGAGAGATGGGTGTGAGGCAGCCTTGCTGCCATATGGGGTGGGGGGGGGAGTGAGACGGCAAGGGACATGGACTCTGGAGCCAGAGTGCCCAGTTGGAATCCTCTTTTACTGGCTGCGCAGCCTTGGGCAAATTACTTAACCTTTCTATGCCTCGATTTCCTTGCCATTTCTGAAACGGGAGTAATAAAGTATCTAGTTTAGAAGGTTGGTTCTGAGTATCAATGACTCATATAACACTGAGAACAGGGCTCAGCATATCGTAAACATTATACGGGTCCTGGCTATTATTATTACTACTTCATTATAGTCTCAGCTCTTTGAGGGCAGAGAACACATTCCCTACATCTTTGTGGCCCCAGCACCCAGCACAGGGTCCAGTGCAGAGTTGGCACTCAGTTGGTATTTGTTGATTGAATTAAATTGTCTTCTGTCAACCAGATAGTCCTTTCTCACTCTGCCCTTAGTCTCTCCTGCTGCAGTTCCCAGACACTTTTAGCCCTGTCCTCCATTGGCCTGTTGCACAGTTGGGCCTTGATCTCCTCCCTCCCTGCCAAGTGCCTCTAGGGAGGTAAACTGCTGGTACTCAGCCCTTCTTGAAGTGATCCTGAGTCTGGGCTGGGACAGGGACTTGGGGGTGGGGTGGCAGAGCAAGAGGGTAGGGGCTGGATGAGGTCTGTCACTCTCCATGTTCTTTCTCTTCGGTACTGCCCTGGCCCAGCTCACAGAATCACGGAACCCCAGTGCCATTCTCCCACTCCCTTGGAACGAACTGGACCATGCTGTGCCTGTTCTTACAACTTGCTGGCTGCCTAGTTCTCTCTTGGAACCAGGGGATCAGAGAGAAGAGGAGAGTCTTAGGTGTTCTGACAGGGTGCTGACTTTGTCTCCATCCAGAGATCCTCTGATATGACTCTTTTGCTCAGCTCCTTGGCGTTGCTGTGACTCCCAGAGACCCTCAGGAACCAATCCCTGGAGCAAGTGTGGAGGGACATCCTCCAGCGCAGCAGCCATGAGGCAGGCTCCTCTGGGGGCCACTACACTGCCCTCCATTCACTGGGCTGCCACAGCCAGCTGCTTCCCCGGAGTGACAGGCCCCAGGGACCTGGGCAGACAGCTATGCCCTCTGCCCAGGGGTCAACCCTTCCTGGTTTCCTGATGTCTTGAGTCCCTGACATCATCTCAGATCCTGTGACCTGCCCCGCCCCACTCAGAAGGAACCTTGACCCTAAAGACTTTAGCCCTTAGGATGCTCGTGGTACGAGTGGTAAATGGGTCAGGTGCCAGTGGACAACTGGGAGGCTTGGAGGCTGGCTTGGGGCTGGGGGTGGGGGTACCACTTTGCCCTGCACAGCTGGCTCTGGGTGTAAGAGCAGTGAGTCACACCTTTCAGGCAGTGGTGAGGAGAGAGGGCAGGGCATGGGGTACGTGTGGGTGTGGAGGGGTGGGGAGCCCAGGTTCACACCCCAGATGTTCCCATCTCCTGAGAAGCCTGGCAGCTGACCTGCATCTGCATGCGTGTGGGACAGGCTTGTGTAGGAGTGTGTGGTTTGTGGGTGTGAGTGCAGGAACGTGAGAACGGGGAGTAGGGGGTGAGAGTAGAGAGGGTGCATACATATGTGTATGTGGCCAGTGAGCTGGTCTGTGCAGGGGATGGGAGGCATTGAGTGTGATGCTGGGCTTCAGGCTGAGTAGAGGTCGGAGTAGAGAGTGACCATAAAATTACAGTGTACCTTAATCTCTTTTTATTTTAATTTAACCTAAGCCTCTGCCAGGGCTCAGGTTGCTGGGTAACTGTTGTGAGTAGGGGGAGAATTTAGGGCCTCCTATTGCTGGCCCACCTGCTGATTATCATCTTAATGATAATGTCTTAGGAGGAGAGAGATTTGCTACCCTCCACAAACATACCTCCAACAGGAAGGGTCAACCTTTGCAGGGGTGGCCTGCTCATACGGTAGCCCTTGGTCTCGGTGTGTTTATGATTGTCTGAGTGCGTATGTGTGTGATGCTTCCAGTCTGCTGTACCTTTGTGTATATATGTGTGTGAGCCTGTCACCTGTGACAGGCTCTGCATGTCAGTTTTGGGATATGTGCATCTCCATGAATGATACCATTGCATTTTATTTTATTTTTTGATGGCGAGAACATGCCGGAGTCACATTTTCAAAATTACACAAACAGAAACAACATTTTAGAATGAAATTTTAACAATCATTGTTATATGACTATAGGCATATATGTATATATCATATTTTATATCAAATAATTGATACATACAAAAATTAATGCTTTTGCTTTATTGTTTACACTTAGTTTTCTTAAACAATTAAAAATAAAATCATTTTCCTAATGATAAAATGAACCATATTTTGACCAGATGCTTTTATTACCATGATCAGAAAAAAGTATTTAATTGCTAATTATCTTTCTTGCCCACTAGAATATAATCTTTACGAGGGCAGGGATTTTGTCTGTCTTGCTCATGGTTGTACGCTAGCACCTAGTATAGTGCCTGGCATGTAAAAGGTACCAAATAAATACTTTTTGTATAAGTGAAAGGGAAAGTATTCCCAAGAAAATGGCATTTAAGTAGAGGCCTGAAAGATGAGAAACAGTCAGCAGGTTAAGAAGTAGTGAGGACTGTTCTAGGAAGCAGACAGTATGTACAAAGGTCCTGAGGGAGGAGCAGGCAGAGTGCATTCTGAGGAGCTGATAGGTGTCTGGTGTGGCTGGAGTGCTCTGTGTGCATGCGTGTGTGCATGCATGCATGTGTGTGAGGGGTGTGTGTGTGTGTGTGTGTGTGAGTGTGTGTATGTGTGTGTGTGTAGGGCTTTCTCAGCCATTTGAAGGAGTGGAAAATTGTTGAAGAGTTTTCAGCAATGGAGTGACATGGTTATATTTGTGTTTTAAAAAAATCCTTCTTGTTGCTGAGGAGGCTGGACTCCCCAAGTTGGGAGTGAGCATGAAAAGTAGGAACCTGGTGCTTGTCTCTGGACAAGAGATGGTGGTGGCTTGGCCTGGGTGGTTGCCATGGGGATGGAGCTCCAAGGACAGTCAGGAGGTTTCTCAGCAGT